GTTGGAGATAAGATAGTGATATCTTAAACTCATACCTAATGACTGTCCGCCACCATACCCAATGGGTTAGTTGCAAAAGTCACTAACTAGTGGCGCAAGTTGCTGGTGGTCAAGGGTTTGAATTCTGATGAAGCCAAGTGAAGTGCACTACTAACGAATTCAGATTGGATGAAACGACCGTTTAGTGATTGTTCTGGTCTGTGGTACGCTTCCGGACACGGAAGCTATTGTGGAGAACCTTAATTAAGATGCATCGATTTTCCATGCTCATTAGTCTTACTTGCTTTGGTGTAAAGTTTGAAATCAGGCCTAGTGGAGACGAGTTAAATCGCTGAGTATCTGCCTGTCCGTAGTGGTCCCTACTCCTGGATATCTTAAGCATTAAGTATGACAAGAACAAGCAAAACAAAGGTAGTCCCAGAATTACCTACAGACACATTTCAATCAATAAACGACGCTTGCGGGCCCAACGTTAATTCCAGTAGCTCCATACTGATAATAAATGTGCTGACAAGTCTATAGTAACCCGAGTCATGAACCAGCACAGGCATTGGTACCGCACTGCAATTTGCAAGTGTTGAAATTGCTAAATGTGGATGTAACTGCAGTTGAAAAAGGAGCCTAATGAAAGCGACAAAGGTATTCATAGACACGCTTTAAGTTCGCCCACGGAGACGCAGCTAACCAAGTTTATCATTTCTAATGTTTGGCAGGGAAGGCATGTAATTGCGGCTCGGAGAGCTATCGGGACCGCTGGCAATATTGGAGGACAATTGCGGGCAGACCATCATGCCATTGTGCTGTCTGCACTGCCTCAAAAGCACAAAGTTGCCATTTAAACCCATCGCAAGCATCAAAGAAAAAATGGAAATGTTAGCTGTCTAGGATCAGAAAACCACAAATATTTTTTCCAGACATCCCACTGAGCGAACGTTATCGAAGTAACCGCGTCATGGAAGACCACCGGAAAGAAATGTTGGACAGAACCTTGCGTTTCAACAACGCACCTGAATCGAAAGCATGCGATGTGCGTAAGTAATAACTCATGAAACGAACAATAAGGTTAACTTCGAGAAACGGTCTCCTTGGATCAAGTGCTAACGAGATCGGGCTCACGGCTACGAATATCGCTGAAGTACAAAGTATGTCCCAAGAGTGTTGAAGGTTATCCCATAGTCAAACTAAATGGTAGCACTGCTACTGTAAAGCCGGCGCATATTTCTTTGTTGGTTATTATCTGAGTTTCGTCTGAAGGCAGCAAGCGATTTGTCCTCCATTGATGATATGTCTTGCGAAGAACCCGATTTGATGGGAACTGTAATAGAACCTGCTATACCTTTTTCCATTGTTGACTAGGACTAGACCGATCGCGTGAGATGATGAAATGAAGCTTTCGTGTGGCGAATTGTCACGACCTACTGGTGAGAAAAAATATGCCTACTCAAGGCCAATTGACACACACTCGTCGAGTGGAAAAGGTGTCAGATTTGAAACAGTCAAAAGCCGAAATAGGCTGAATGACGCAAAAGAGTATTGAAAAGCGAAAAACATGACAGCTCACTTACTTTTGCGAGCCTACTACTCACCATGTTTAAGAACGACTATGCAAATGAGCTAGTATAGTGATAAATCGCTCCCTGTTAGCCCACATGGACACCAAGCCGAATGGGACGTGGAAGTGTGGATGCAAACTTTCGAGGGAATACTCCACATGGAAGCTGGTCTCCAGGAGTCGGTTCGACGGATACCCGTAATAATTCTATTATGGTTATCTTAAATGACCACCTTCATGGTACTTTTACACTTTTTTACCATTTATACCAAATGAACTCCTTATAAACCTGATTTTGAACTATTCCGGAAAATCCGAAATAGCATCTGCACTTTGCGATCACATTGTATCATAGGTTCAGTGCAAGCACTTGAACTGTAACCCGCACTGTCGAGAAACACGCATTTTCAACAGTGTATTAGTGGTGTGTCTCTTGAACCCATACAGCATGTTGATGAAGGGAATGACTAGGATCCTCAAGCTGTAAGCATAAGGCTTGATATGGGAACAATGAACAATGATTTATAACGGGTAAAAAAGCAGGTGCTTGACATGTCCCGTAAGGTGTTTAGCGTGACAAACTAACGATAGCAAAAGGATAATGGAGTCGTCAGTTCAGGCAATTACAGAGGTAACTGCACTGTCGTATAAAGGGAGTTTGAAATGAGAATGTACGCACATAAAGCAACAGGGGAGTGGTTATTGTTCACATCATCGGCGAGAAAAATAAAAAAAGATAGCAAGGACAACACTTACTCGTGTGCAACTGTCTTTGGCCGATAGGATACAGAAATCCAGTTTCTATAACAGTAGCGTTGATCGAATTTCGTGCAAGACGTTTGGGGTGACTCATTCTCTGGTAGGGTTATGGCACTATCCCCTGTCTGTTGTGCATTAGTGTCAGCATCTGGTGGTCATGAGCTATAGCACGTAGTGTAAATGTGACAGGGTATCGTCAAGGCTTTTTTTTGAAAAGGGATAGGGTGGGTTCATTAAGTACATGTTCCGGTAGGGCGTTCCAAGGCTGTGTCACTCGAAGGGAGAAATAGTTTCGCCGACAATCCAGGCGGCTGTACTGCGTGACTAACTTAAACTGGTGACCCCTTAGCGAGGTGTTTTGACTGAGTATTAGAAGTGAATGGCATGGGTGGTTGGGGTCTCTCAGGATTAGGTACACTATTATGAGATCGCCCCTAAGACGCAGATAACGTCCACTGTGTATTTTGAGGGTCTTCAGCCTGAGGGGGTAGGGGAGGCCGGTCAAACCTCTGACGCTGTTCGTTACCCTACGTTGTGCAATATCGAGCGCGGTGAGATAGTGCTTGAGCCAGGGTTGCCACGCTTGGATAGCGTATTCCGCGTGCGGCCTCACGTACGCACTAAGCATTTTTGGAAAGATCGAAGGGTCGAACTTCCCAAAGGCTCTGCGAAGAAGACCGAGGTACTGGTTCGCTTTCTTAGCTGCCTTTTCAGTCTGCCTCGAACAACCGAGGTCATCTTGAACAATCACACCGAGATCGCACTCGTGAGAAGCCCGCTGTAGAATTTGTGGTCCTAGGCGGTAGTTGTGCATACTCTTATGCCGTATACTGAGAACTTTGCACTTGGTGAAGTTGAAATGTAACCAGTTCTGGATGGACCATGTGTACGCTTTGTCCAGGTCCTCCTGTAAGAATGTGTGATCCTCCACTGCAGCTATAGTGCGCCATACCTTTAGATCATCAGCAAATAGCAAATAGTTAGAAGATAGCACCCTCGCGAGATCATGTATAAAAACCAGGAACAGGCGGGGTCCTAGTACCGAGCCCTGAGGTACGCCGCATTGAACTTCGATGGATTCTGATAGGTTGCTTCTAACCCTCACAATCAGGTGAGGTTGCAGGAGAAAGTCTCCTATCCAGCTCAGAACAGGATCGCCGATTCCATATTTCTGGAGTTTGTGGAGGAGAATACGATGATTTATGCGGTCAAATGCCTTTGAGAAATCCAAGTAGGCGGCGTCCACGCCTAGACCAGCGTTCACAGATTCCGTCCAGTTTGCACGAGCAATCAAGAGATTAGTTGTACAGGAGTGGTTTTGGAGAAATCAGTGCTGTTCCGGAAGGAGAATTTGGTTGTTCTCCAGGTACCCCAATAAAGCCTCAGCTACAGTGGACTCCATAACCTTGGAGATCACAGGAAGTAGTGTTATCGGGTGGTAATTTGCTGGTTCAGCACGGCTGCCACTTTTGTAGATAGGCGTGATGATTCCGTGCTTCCACATCGTGGGGACATGCATCTCGTTTAGACATCGTTGAAAGAAAATTGCTAACGGTCCTGCCAAACTCATAGCAGCAACTTTCAATGCCTTCGGGCAAATGCCGTCCGCACCCAGGGAGCTGAACTCGCGCAGAGACATCAGCCTATTCAGTACAGCTGCGGAGGTAAACGATATGTGATTAATCCCTGATGGCGGCGCTGTCTGCTTAGGCAGGATGTATGGTGATTGCACGCTTTGGAAGGTACGGCCAAATTGTTGTCCAAGGACGTTGGCCGACTCTTTTGCGGTTTGGGCTAACCCGCATGCTGTGTACAGAGCAGGAATACCGCGCTTAACACGGCGCAAATTGTTTACGTGTCTGTATAGCAGTTTTGGATTGGAGCAAAACTTTTCCACTAAATCCTGTTGGTTCTTAAATTTATCCTGATGAACCTGACGCCGAATCAGTCGCCAAGTACGCAACAAAAAAGCGGTCAGTAACCGTCCACTCACTGTTCGGTGAAAATTTACGTAATAATCCCACAACTTTCAATCAATTGCTGCAGCCTAAGAAAAATGCATGCATGTAGGTTACTTACCAAGGTATCCCCATTAAACCTACCCAATTTCGACTACGTCGAGTCACCAATGCTTTGGACTGCAGTTCGGTCACTAAAAGCTGGTTGCATCATGAAGTTGATGCTTTTGAGCTCGAGATATCACGAATGCCAATCATCTTGAAGAACCGTCTAAGAAATATAGCTGAAGTCCTTCTCTATTACCACAGTGATTAACAATGTGCAATAGTTAGGGATCTGCAAGCTTATGTCACCGACTAACTCTGGCGTTATCTGTGAATAAGATACAACGATGCGTGTTTCATGCATGTCATATAGTGACCCAAAATACGATCCCTAAGTGGATTCCAGCTTGATACATGCCATGATCAGCGGAACACATCTTAGGTACAGCCACATTCGCATCACCGGTGACAACAACCGGTACTGTCCTGAGGTCTCTGCATCTCCAAATGAACAGTTCAAAGCGGACTTGCATGAAGTTACAGCTGCTATTCCAAGCTAAGTTAATGTCAGTTCCTCAGTAGATTCCAGGACACATACGTAACAACCGTTTTGAAATTTATGTTAACAAATAAAGAGCGCATCGGCAGTTTACAAGCGTTCAACAAAGATATGGTCCAAATAATAATCAATGCTTCATCCTCATTCTCATAGAAAAACCATCATCATCATCATCATCATCATCATCATCATCATCATCATCATCATCATCATCATCATCATCATCATCATCATCATCATCATCATCATCATCATCATCATCATCATCATCATCATCATCATCATCATCATCATCATCATCATCATCATCATCATCATCATCATCATCATCATCATCATCATCATCATCATCATCATCATCATCATCATCATCATCATCATCACCATCATCACCATCATCATCATCATCATCATCATCATCATCATCATCATCATCATCATCGTCATCGTCATCATCATCATCATCATCATCATCATCCTCATCCTCATCATCATCATCATCATCATCATCATCATCATCATCATCATCATCATCGTCATCATCATCATCATCATCATCATCATCCTCATCCTCATCCTCATCCCCATGATCAGCGGACATCAGCTAATGTGCCTCAATGCAAAAGTGATAAAGGAAATCGTGGTACAGTCCAAAAAGTGATTAAATAGTTATGCTGCATATCACATTATGCATAATTTTTGAGTTCGCTTTTTGGAAGGAAACTGAAAAGTAAGGGAAGGATACAGACTCACAACAAACTCAGCGAGGTGTGCTCTTCAGCGTGTAACCTTTACCTTTTCTCAGCCATTTGAATTCATAGCGCTTTCAAATGCATGCTTAAAGTATAAAGTTCCACTATAGACCTTTCAAGAATGTTTATAAAGCTTCCAAGTGGAATCCAACGAGCGCAAGCACTTATAAACCTATATGCTGTTCATTGAGTGACCAATCGCAAAGAAGCAAATATTATGATTGAGTGGGATGATATTGTCGGTTTTGGCTTTTGTCGCTCAATTAGCCGTAGCACTTAGGGGCGTTCATGCCATTCGGATCCAAGTTGCAAGATTTATGCACCGTCTTGGAAGATCTAGGGATGAAGATGATTTCCTTAAGGAGGAATTTTGAAAAGTTATATCTTCAATCTGCTGCGGAGAGGTATAGTGTGTCCGAACACACCTGTTCATTGGCGTTCGCTCCCCAGCCTGGTAGTCGAGAGACATCAACCGATGTGAAGTTCGAAGTAAGGGACTTCGTTCCTCTTGACTAATATATCCCTTGGCCTCCCCTGCCCTTATTTCATCCAGACAACGGGCTCTCAAACAACGCACAATGCGGTAGTCGGTAGACTGACATGCGCAACACGTTGTCTAGTCATCGGAGCCTGTTGCATGATATAACCGTACTGAGCAGTTCAATCGCTCTTCCTGCACCAAATACGCGGCGCCGAACACGCTGATTGCCCACGCGGTGTACCAAACATACACGAGCTTTGCTGCGAAGGTAGCGCTAGTCTAACCTAACAAACGTCTTGTTGTGTGTCGACTTGATGGCCAGGTTTCACAACACTACAACGGGGTTGAACGTGCGGCTGCGTTGTAAATCCACCCCTTCAAAGCGAGGGTAATTTAAAACCGGCACCACAATTGGCGGAGATTTACAAAAGCGCCTCCAGCTTTTGATATTCGTTTCGTACTCACGTCTTTGATCCCAAATGCGCGGGTATAGCTACTTAGGCACCTAAATTTCCGGGCAACTTCTGGCTGGTCACCACCAAAGCTCAGCGCAGCGGTTGGTCCCTGCCAATCTTAGAGGACTTTGTACTTCGAGCGTGCGAAGTATATCCCGAAGTGACTGACAGTCAATGCTAAGTTATCCAACACAACTGGCTACATTCTGAAGCTGTAACAGATGAGCTAAAGGTCGTCGGTATACACTAAACCAAGAAATAGTTAACCTGGGAGCACCTCCATGCCTTCTGTGTCTTGCCTGGCGAGCACGGTTTTTATGACTTCGTTGATGGTGAAGTTGAAGAGGAAAGGTGACAGTAGGCAGTCTCGTTTTACACCACTGGAGATACTGAAAGGCGGCGAATGTTTTCCGTAAACCCTCGCTTTGCCTGAAATATGAGCTCGAATATGACATTTTGGGATTTGGAGAGAATTTAGACCTGTCAGTTACAGACAAGTTCTGCGAACAGGGTTGAGGTGATAGTTTAGACAGCTTACAGACATTGCCATCCACTGTGTTGACTAACCACACTGAGTATGCAAACTTGAATGACATAACAATGGAACACAATATGCATACAGTCTGTTGCCTAATACATTGGATAGGATCATCCAGACAAACGGACAAAATCAATTGGACTTTTGTCAGTTAACTCACATACAACTGTTGGAATCGCAAACAATTTTCGTAACTGCAAATTCATCTGGTTCTAGTTCGAGCAGACACCATTAGTTTGCGTTATGTGGTCTTGAGGCAAACAGTTACACAGAAAGATGTTGACGACGCAACGCGTCAAAATTGCATATTGATTTTGCAGGTTGATATTGCGTATTGATATCTTAAGATAAGGTAACTTAAGAAATCTTTAGCTAAGATATAAGATGTCATTAAGACATCATTTAAGATATATTTGGCTTGGTAAATGAAGTACAGTATGCAGAAGTGCATTTTACGGTTGACAAGCTCCAGCGGTGAAATTTCGAGAGTATTCTACTTGACTACGCTGTGTGTCAAAATTTGAATAGCAAGCTGGTGGCATTGTGACAAAATTCCAGGAAGAGGCTGTTATGGTGCTTTAGATTCTTCGTGATAAGGCTAGTCATCACGACGTCCCTCCGGAAGTGCGGAAATTGGTCGCTATGCAATCCAAGAGATTACAGCCTACTTTACATGTTAGCTGTGACAGGCCATTAAGGTAGTTACAAGGGTGGATGAAATTTTTTCTGCCCGACATATGAAGGAGTCAGGTTCCCATCGCATTCCTTGCCACTTCTTTTCGTAATCTCCCATAAGTTGAATGAACTAATTTCCATACTTGTTAAGCATTAATATTCCTTTGTGCAAGAATGTAAAAGAGGCCCCGTAAAAAGCTCCACATCAATAACTAGCTCATCAATTTAACACATCTGCGACCCCGAATGTGGAAATGCCATCAGGAGAATTGATACGTCTGATAGGGTCAGAGCTAGTAAATGTGGGGCGCGCAACAGCAATCCAAAGCCACAGATAGTTTCTTCTGGCACCGTTACTTGTGTAATGTGAACAGGTACATGCAATGGACAAAGAAATGCTGGGAGCTCTCTGATCTGTTTTTCTGTTCTCAATTATTTTCTTTTCTGTAATTTTGCAGCGTACTACTCGCCTGGGATGGTCTGACAACTCGGCAAGAATTCTGTCGTGAATGTACGTTTATTTTCTCAGCAAACAGGCCATTACCTATTCCGCCGGCGTTACCTGAAGGAACCAACTTAGCGGAATAGAGCCAGTATGTTCCCATGATTTACACTGCATCGTTGCTTGCGGCTCAAAGTGATGAACCTAGTTTCTTCATGGCGAATAAAATTTCGAAAAAAACATGTGTAATTTTTTGAAAAGGTTCAAAATTTTGCTCGAGGTTTTCTACCTGTTCAGTGTCTTATCGAGTGTGAACGTAGTTGACACCCACCTAGGGTGGATGGCAAGAATGTTTGGTAGGCAGCTTTCATATCTCCAAGATGTTCACCAAAACAGTATGCCCTGGGCTATAACTGGTTCCAATAGTCATAACTACCGTTGCTGGACGTTAATACCATCTGAAAATCCAGTGGATCATGCAGCAGAGTAGTGTATAGATAACCAACTTAGACTGGACAGTACACCAACTTCTGTAGTGCGGTACCCATACAGTACAAACGAAATCTTGCCCGCACTCTTGCCTTCCGGGCACACAGAATTTGCACACCGGACACAATCACCAAAGAATTGCAAAAGATCGGTGACGCGCTAAAAGCGTATGGGTATCCAGATAAATATATCCTAAAACATTTGATCAACGCGAGATAAACCCACCGAGGATGAACGTACTCAAGAAAGTAGTAACTGTGCATTTTCCTTTCAAAGTCTGCAGTGTTGCTGATGTCTTGTAAAAACGCGTGAAAGACGCTGTAAAAAGACTTATTTCGCGACTCGCTTTTATTCGCAAAATCTTGGAAACACAGACTGCCTCCTGTGGTTCAATCAATGCTTGATTATGTTTATTCGTGCTGCTGTGGTGTACGATACGTGGGTCGTATTACGAGGCGCTTATCTCATGGGATCCGTGAACACATCCCGAGGTGTTTTTACAAATGCGAAGCGTGATCTAGCAGCAGCTCCATCGTGTCGCACCTTCTACAGTGCGGTCACGCAGGGGCGGAAAAAGATTTCAGAGTACCCTATACTATCCCTGAACCTTTCTCAGGCGGATTCCGGAAGCATCTCCTGTCTATTGCGAAGGCTGTCTACATCCGCCGTTAAAGCTATAATGCTGTGTACGATAACAGTTGGTACTTCCTTTACTCCTAACGTGGACTACAACGTTTGCTGTGATTTTCCCCTGTACATAATTTGCCACCCTCAAGGACCCCGTGATTTATTAATTTGTCCTAGTGGGAATTAAACATTCTGATCAACACGCAGCCCAATTCGGCACATTTAGCAAGTTGTCATCATCACGTAATTGAGTCTGAAGAAAATTAACGAAAAGAAGTCTTTACTCAGATCCTGCCTCCATTGATTCATTCTTGTTGATTCCTTTCACCGTGGTGTTTTGAGTTTATTTAGGCTGTATGCTACCAGAAATGTGACACAAAATAGTGTCTCACATGCTCATTGTAACTTTGTGTGAAGAGAGGGAGGCTAAATAGACAAATTGTTCTGCACAAAACCGCTGTATTTTTGACTGAATTTCGGTGTCATTCCAAATTACCCTGAGCTATATTTGTGACCATTAACTAGTATTCTATTGTAAAGGTTATTGGAGCTAAAGAAATACGAGGACACCAAATGTTTATCCGGAAGTTGGCTGGCGATGTACAGGAATAACCATAAAATTGCTCTGCCTATATATATATGTATTTATATACATGGAGCAGATATATGAGACGGTGAAAATTCAAATGGTTGATGGGTGTCGAGAAGAAGCCCGGCCGTATCATAGTACGTTTCGGGAGAGCAGGTTCGACATGGATGTGATAGAACAGAGATACGTGAAAAAGGAGAATAGCAGCATTTGTTAGTGAAGGAAGTTACGCAATTCACATAAGAATAGACATCGAATTTCCGTAGCTGTGTGGATCTTGATACAGGGTGTGATTATTCAGGTTGCGGGAGGCTTTGCAAAGTGCTTTGTTGATTGCATCGATTTGGGTAACTCCTAAAGAATGTCAATTCTTAATTTTTGTCCAATGTTAATGTAAGCCGCGCTGCTCCGACGCTAAAACGTTTTAATTTGCCAGGTAATACAAGACGTTTCCCCGATGTTTGCTGTTATTAACTTTGACAGTACACGTAAGAGGATCACTGCGCTCTAGTTGTTTGTACCTTCAGGGCTCTCAAATTAAATTGAGATCACT